GCCAAACAGCTCCGCCATCACCATCGGTTACATGCGATAAGGACGACAAATGCACCAAGCACAGCCCCTGACTTCTAAGATCTCGCTTCAGTTCTCCGTTTTCGTTGTCAGTGGGAACCTGATATATATAAGAAGGTTATATTAATGGCATAAAACAATTTTAGCAAAGAAAAATAAACTACCATCTTATCTATTGAGCTGCCTAACTTTTGTGGACATGCCGTGAGTGTACTAACTTGGATTGAACGAACATATGCATGGCGTAATACTATCAATGAAGAAATTAGATTTCCAACATTTTAATGAAAAAATGAGAATACTAGGGTTTAAGCAAAGATCCCAGATTCTCATTCATCTAACAATTCTATCAAGTTTTTGTTCACTCTTGCATTGATCCAGAATGTATAATATATCATACTCCATAAGGGAAAAAGTGTTTGCAGTTAAGTATATAAAGACTTTGAAATTCCATTTGAAAATGTCAATCTAGTTATGGGAAATAATTCAAATATTTATGTATTATCCTGCCCACCAATAGGGTGGCAAGATGTGGTGTGGTCTCGCCATCTCACCAGCAGGGTCTAAAATATTGGTGAGGTGGCAAGACCAGCCACCTCATCGGTGGACAATATATCTTCTGTTCATAGTGAACATGAACACGAGATCAATCTACAATTTATATTTAGGTATTTAACGATGTGATATTTATCACTTAACATGTCTCCTTAAAATGGTGGCTCTTTTGAGAGTATCAATCGTGAAACCCGTGTCCTTATTTGAATTTTGATCAGATTGATTTGCTCGTTTAAGTTTAATGAACTTTGATACCTTATTAAAAATTAGAGTTTCATTTCAAAATATCAATTTTGTTAAGGGGAGTAATTCAAACCCTTATATGTAGAGAGGGAGAGAGAGAACTCTATGTGATGACAAGTCGAACTGAAACAAAAGAAAACGTTAAGACAAAATTTCAAGAGATTAAATGCATTTAATTCAATTCATATATATGAAAAAGAGTTGTTCACTTAGTTTCTTACCCCTTTCATTGCTCTGCCGGTCTCGTTCCTTGATGAATTCATGTAAGGGACAGTTAGAGTCTGCAATTAAACATAGTCAAAATATTAGCAAAAGTAAAAAACCATCCTCTTATGGGAAAAAAATAAAATAAAATTACAGAAAACAATGTAAATTTGTGACAAAATTCATGTGAAATTGCAAACTGTCGATTGTGGAAATATAGCAAAGCATTTGATTAGCCATGAGTTCAGAATTCTGTGTGGAAATTTGTATAATTTGTCTTCAAGGCCTAAATGGTG